TGACCATTACCTTCCCTCCTTCAGCTTTTATCAGCAGCCTGTCTGCCATTTATGACTCAGTGCCTTAGAGAGGAATCCCCATAGCTGCTGAACAATGCCTCCAGCCAGCGCCTGCTGGGGGAGTTATCACTTCACTGATACCATGGTTTCTAAAGGAAACCCCAGGCCTGGTGTGTGTTATAGTTCTAAACGGCAGAAAAAGGACAAGATAATTTCCACATTGCAAAGGGGAATGCAGTCAGCATTACTCAAGAGGTCTTGTGGGCGGTGTTTGTTTTAATAAGAAACTTATTATGTGCTGGGGGACTAGGGCACTAGGGGTGGGAAAGTGGGAAAGGGAAGTCACCAGAGTGTTGCACAATAACACATTGGCACCTTGGGAATACTTCCGGATGTGTGGGCTTCTGAAAAGTGAAGGGGAATGCCCCCATAAATCTGTCACCCACCCTCACACTGCTGTTACTGGCCCAGAGAAAACAGCCCTTCTAAATGGTCTGTGATGACAAGGGTGGCAAAGAAAGGCTGAGGAAAAGGAGGAGGAGAAGGAGGAGGAGGAGAAGGAAGAGGAGAAGGAGGAGGAGGAGAAGGAAGAGGAGACGGAGGAGGAGGAGGAGGAGGTGGCGGCGGCGGCGGTGGAGGAGGAGGAGGAGGAGGAGGAGGACAATGACAAGAACTAAAAGGAAGACATAAACTGGGGAAGAGGAATGATTGATCAGAAAAGCAGAAAGAAGGAAAAAGAAGGAAGGAAGGAAGGAAGGAAGGGAGGGAGGGAGGGAGGGAGGGAGGGAGGGAGGGAGGGAGGGAGGAAGGAAGGAAATAAGAAAATCCGTTCCAATGGCAGAGTTCTGGAGTATAAAAAGCAGGGTCCTTTATTTAATTTGGAGGGAGCACCATACCTTTGAAACCTTGGGCCAGTTGAGACATAACAATAAATCTCAGATCTCATATCTGGAATAGGAGCCACATATAGGCTCATATTAAGTAGAACTGCACAATATAGGGCCACCCTATCTAGTACGTGCTGCTCTGTAAATGACTGCTGTGGTTGATACTTCATCTTTCACAGCATCCCAAACTGCCCACATTTATATGAGAGAGGGAAGCCTAGCTTCAGGAAATGCTATTAAACTTCCTTCTATCTTGTGAGGACAGTTTTCAGTTAGGATTTTAATGTATAATCAGTAGAAACTAGTTTTGGTCAGCTTAAGCAAAATAAACAAAATAAGCCATCTATTTGAAACACTCAATACCTGATGAGGGCTCTCTCAGAGGGCAGGAGAATAGAAATTGCATTCCCCAGAGGAATTTCAGGCAGATGCTCTGGCCCAGGTGTGAGCCTCGGTAAGGAATAACACACCTTTCTAGTTTCCTCAGCTGTAATGCTGACTCTAGGACTTTGGATACTGTCATTTCATGGATAGTCACCAAAATAGATTCACTATGGCTTCAGAATCCAAGTTGTGGGTTGGCTGTCTGCTGGGGTAGGCAGTAAGCCTGAAAGGAGCCCACTTAAGCTGTAGAGTAACATGGGGAAGATGACTGGATTTGAGCTAGTGCTCTAATGACGATTGGGCTCTACCTCACTAGAAAAATGATTTTGATTCCACAAATCTAGGATTCAGAAAGCAACACTTCAAAATATTGATAGATATCTGCCACAGACGAGCCCAAGGTCTTTTACATTTTCTGGATAAGAATACCAAGTCTTAGTCAATATTGTATCTCCAAGCTGTGGTGTGAACTCAACTCAGTTTTACTGAGGCCTATTTTCTCGGCCACCATTCTTGACACATATAGTGATAAGAATGGCCACCTCGACAAATCATTCACTCTCATTCCCTCAGCCCCCTACCCTGCTCGAGTCCCCCTTCTCTGAGTCATTAAATCTGTTGGGGACAAAGTGTAAAAATTTTCTGTCTATACTATTTCAGACTCAAGCTTTGGAGCTTGTGTTGGAATGCAGCCTCTTGGAGCTGGCATCTTAGAATGAGTTCCATTCTGCCTGGAATGCCTGCATCTCTGTGAGTCTATCATGGAATTTTAGATGACCAATCAAGGGTACAGCTGATGTCTTTTCTCTGACACAGATAAAACTCAATGCACAAGAGAAACAGAAAGCTTTCCTTTAATGCAATCTATGTATTCCATTTCCACTAATTTATTAGGAAGATTGCTTCATAATAGTAAAGTCTCCACTCACCGGCAAAGCTCGTTAAATCAGGAGTGATTAAGTGACCTTTTAGCAAGTAACTTTCCACAGTAAATACACAGTCAGACTCTAGGTTTTTTGTTTGTTTTTGTTGTTTGTTTGAAACAATCCTGACTGTCTTGGAACTTGCTTTGTAGACCAGGTTGTCCCAGATCTCACAAAGATCACCTGGCTCTGTCTCTCAAGTGCTGGGATTAAAGGTGTGTACAATCACAACCAGCCAGGCTCTTGGTTTAAATACAGCTTAACTCTGTTTATCATCTGCTAAAAGTGATCCATAAAAACGTTGTTGAGGGAATAATAGTTTAGAAATATGCCTTCATACAAAAGATGACCATCAAATACTACCCCCAATGGATCACCTTGAACCTAGTAAAGAATATGTTTGTACAATGGACTTAGGAAGAAACAAGTCTCAGCTTCTCAACATCACCCTTTTCTTTACAAACTTTGCAGAGAATATTTTGAAAATTTATAATCCTGAACATCCATTGTAGTCTGAGTAGAGGGAAAAATGAGGCCCAAAACAAGCAAGGGAAGCTGATTCTAGACTCACTCTCAGTGCTATTTCTAGAAGAGTCTTTCAGTTTTACCACTCTACACTTAAAATTCATTTCATTTTTTAATAAGTGGAGAATAACATCTTTATTTCCATCTATTCTCTGCACCAGACATTACAAAACAAAAGAATCAAATATTTTGGATGCACAGATTAGCAAGTGAATTTTTTTTATAGTTAAAGGAACAGACTTTTTTTTTTTTTTGGTCTGGGACACAGGAACTTTGCTTCACCCACACTGATGTGCCAGAAAAGCTATCAGACATAGGAGCACATGTGGCTGTGGTCCCTCAAAGAACAAAATAAAACAACTCAAAACAAAAAACAAGGAAACAAAGAAAAAAACCAAAAAGAACAACAATAAAAAACCCAAATATTAACATTCTGGTCTGCGGACTGCAGCTTGCTGACGCTTTTCTGAAAACATCTCTCTAGTTGTTATGTATGGCTGAATAGTTTTAAAACAACACAGTACAGGACTGACAGACCCCAAGCATCTATTATAGAAGGTCCACGTCCCACATTCCACCTTCACCAGAAACTACTTCCAGGGAGTTCTAAGGTGGCATGCCTTATTCACCTAAGTAAAACAGGTAAATGTTCTTTTGTAAAGATCTGGATCACCGATGGCTGGTGAAGGCAGAAGGTTAGCTTTAAGCAGTGTTTACAGCTATGAAGAATTCGGCCACACACAAGAGAAATCACACAGCAGACGGGCAAGTTCTCAGGGATTTCCTTACCTAATCATTGCCATTTAGAGGAGGGGAACTGAAATTCAAACCTGGTCAACTTTACATACATCCTTAGTCCTGCATCTAGAGCTTTAGTTTTTAATTTTAATTAATGTTTCCTGCTGCCATATCACTCAGCTAGTTAGTAATCAAACTTTTACAATGGGCAACACTCTGAGCTAGGGGCAAAGCCTTCTCTAATAATAGTAATAAGAATGATGATAATAATAATAACAACAATAAAGGCAGAGCTCTACTTAAGAACTGCCAAGTCCTTCCTCATTCTGTGTCTTCTTTTTTTTTTTATTTATAACCATATGCATTTGCATAGCATCTCTGTTGTGTAGCTCTGCTCCTATTTGGTGCAGAAGATAAACAGTAGGTGCTCAGTAAATGTGTTCAGAATGGAATAAACAGTAAGTGAAGCAGTACTTTTACCCTCCTGGAGCTCAGTCTACCAAAAGAAACACTGTCTAAGTCCAGTACTTTAATGCACTACAGATGCAAAGATGCGATGACATCTTTCCCTGCAGTCCTCCTGGAAAACTGCCTTTCAGTGAGAAATCTTCCCACCACAGTTTTCATCCCCTCGGTCGCTGGTCGCTGCCGGTTCCCTTTTCAGAGAGAGCACCTCTGTCCTTTGTACTTGCAAATGAATTGTGATTAGTTTTCACCTCCAGCCCAAGGGATTAGCCAGAGGACCTTTGATCTTCAGGTATCGATTTGCATCTTAAAGGAAGCATGATCTCATCTGGGCCAGCTCAAAATTCCATCCCTGCCCCCACACCCTGTCTGTTTACCAGCCCTGGGGCTGGACAGGGCCTCCCAAGTGGGGCTGAAACAACAAGATAGGCCAGACTCCTTGAGAAGGCAGAGGAAAACACATTTCCCACCGGACTCAGTAAAGGTGGGAAAAGGAGGTTTGCTTTCTAAGCACGTTATTTAGCCAGTTATTTGTCCTGGGTTGCAAATCCCAGAGATTGTACAGTGTGGATTTGAAGCAAGGACCGAGGCAGAAGGTAGATCCCCAGCCAGAGCTTGTGTAGAGCAGAATGAACAGAGACTTGAGAATCACACAAAATCAAGGTTAGGCCAGTCTTTCTTAAGAATGAGCCTATGCTGAACAGTCTGACTCCAGAAACACTTTGTAATCGCCTCAACCCTTGATATTTCCCTCCTTTAAAGAAGAAAAGACTTACACATGAAATACTATGGTACTAGCCATCCTGCGTGAAGAAAAACCAATACTCTCACTAAGGTAAAGGATGATAAAACATGTCACCTGTCACTGCCATCATCAATGAGGACTTGAGTTTTTTTGAGGACGGTAATGTTTGCCTTTCTGTCTTTCTTTTTACATCTGTGTTTCTTAATGCTTATGACAGTGAGTGGCCTGTAGGAGACGTTCCATAGGTGTGGAATCAAAATGAGTGAATTTCATGTGGACATACTTGTTATTGTTATAATTGTTCAATCAGCCAGAGACATGGCAGAGACTCACCGATGCAGTTGAAGGAAACTTCTTGCTTGCAGAAAAGAGAGCAGCCATCGCCGTTGGCCTTATTCATATCATCACACTCTTCTCCTTGATCTCTGCACAACGGATGTAAAAGGGAAAGAACCCAGGTCAGTTTCCAAACTGAGACCAAGCAAGTGAAAATACTCACACGGATCATGAGGCTTTGGGGAGCTCTTGTTCCAGTTTCTCTCCCTGACTTCAGTCTAGTGCCTTGGCAAAATGAAATGAACGAAAGGTATAGATTTATGAAATAAGATTGCAGTTGCCTTAATGGTGTTTTCATGAAAAAGGACAGTTCTGTTTCAGAACTGGTCATTGTGTCGACATTTCTTTTTTGTGAATGCATGTGTGTGCTGGCGTGTGTGCTTGAGTACACACAATCATGAGTCCCTGTATATGCATACATGTGTGCAGCTCTCTATGGCTGCACACATATGTGGAGGCAGGAGGACAGCTTTAAGTGTGTTGTTACTGTCAGGACCACTGCCCAGTTTACTTTTTGATGCACACTCTCTGATTGGCCAAGAGCTCACTGATAAGGCTGGGTTCACTGGCCAGAAACCCAGGGATCCAACTGTTTCCACTTCGGCTGTGTAGAGATGACAGGCAAGCACCATTATACCTGTCATTAAAGTGGCTTCTGGGGATCAAACTTAGGTCCCTGTGCTAGCAAGGCAAGTACTTTTAAATTTTTACTTCTTTTCTGTTTTCGTTTTTCTTTGTTTGTGTGTCCTTGGGCATCCAAACCTCTCCCACCTTGAGATGTTTCTCCAGTCCACACATTTTATCATTTGAGGCATCTCTCCTGCCCTCATCTTTTGAAACTCAAGTCACACAAACTGACAAGACAATGAATAGTATAAGAAGTGGAGGGAAAACAAACAAACAAACCAACCAAAACCTCATGGCTCTCTAAAATAGTACTTGTTTTAATTGGAAAGGGTGGAAATGTTCACCTTTTCCTGTGCTGACACTCTCCTCACTGCCTCAACACCAGAAGACTTGCTTTCTTCCACTCACATCTCCAAGCTCAGACATCTTTCACTAGAAAGCTATACTCCCTCCACCGAGTGTGCCTTTTCTTGGTTTCGAAGACTCTGAGGCCTGTCCTTGCAGTACTCTCCATCACCTACTCTTGTAGAGATTGAAATGGTCAGAAAATGAGCATTGCTTCCTTCCCTTGGCCTCCTTCCCTCCGGGCTTTGGCAAGGAGAAAGAAGAGCAGAAACTGGGAAACTAGATAGATTGTTGCTTTCTGGAAAGTTCCCATCCTCTTAGAAACTGAAAAGGTCAGTTTAGAATCACATGTTCCAAAAATAGCCGCATGATCTGTGTAAGTCCCTTGGCTGGTCTAGCTGATCTTTTAATAAGTTTAAATCTATTGAAAGCAAATGGAACTGGAATGACATTCCTCAGTCACAACAGCCACATGTCAAGTACTCAGGAGCAGTATGTGGCCAGTGCTCACTATGTTTGACAGGATAGAACAAAGTCCACTGTCCTAGACATATTTATTGAATGGTGCTCCTGTCAATACCCAGCCTCGTTTTCTGTGTTATAGTGGAGATAATTAAGCCTTCTCCTTAGAGTTGGGGACAAAATTGAAGCATGATTTAAAGTGTCTGGTATGTTGGGTAGCACCTACCAGATGCTAAAAGAGTCAGTTCCCATTCCTTCTTTGCCTTGGGGGGTCTCTGTAGAGTGTGTGGCAGCTGTCCCTCCCACTTAAGGGACCAGCTGGGAACTGTCACAGCATGGAACAGGTCTCAGACTTTTCCTTTTACCAGGGGCAATTAACACCAGGCAATGTTTGTTGTCTTTAGGAGGTGTCGGAATAGCAGAGTAGGGCCTAGCAATCAATCCTTAGGATGAACTAGGCTGTTGCATCCATCTCCAAAGAGCCACCCAAGTTCTTTCCTGTCAGCACAACCATGAGCTAAGAGGTTTGTACTCTTAGCTGTCCTCAGCATTCTCTGCCAGTGAATCTCACAGGCTAGAAATCAACAGTGACCTTCAGCATCTTAGTTTTTCCATCAGTTGGGTTGGGAGACATACCCCCTCTCCCCTGGACTCCTGCGACCCACCCCGCCCTGTCCTCTGTCCCCAGTCTGGACTGGTTTCCTAAGCCATGAACAGTATTTCCAGTTTACCTTCCATCACCACCCAAACAGTGCATTCTACTGGTTTAAGCAAAACATTAGGGTCACCACAAATATCTTCAGTTATGATGGAGCTATCATTAGATAGAATGGTTCTGGGTTCTGAGAAACCTCCTCTGACCTTTCAGACTGAAGTGTGTAGGCGTCTTTCTCTGTGTTCACAGACATCTTTTGTCATCTATCACAGAATTTGTCAAACTGACTCTCTTCGCCTAATACTGGAGTGCTTGTAAGCGACTGTGAGATGCCAAAGGAGGAGATAGACTTTTCATTATCAGAAGAAGCAGCCCAGTTACAATTATTACTCAGAAGCATCCCAGTATACAGTTCCTGGGATGAGGGACATGGCATACAGCCACCTCTCTACTGGCTAATTTTGTAGCGTTCTCTTCTCACACTAAAATGAAGAGATGAATTAAGATGAGAATCAGGTCCGTAGTACAAATGTTAATAGGTGTGAATGCTTGAGAAAAGCACTTTAATTTTTTTTGCAGATTATTTTATTATAAAGTATCATAATAGGCCCAATCACACATCATTGAGAGGAAGCAAGTGTATAATAATGTATTATACAATAATGTAGGGTCTCATGTGTGGAAGAAGCTTGGTAAATGTTCACATAGAGTGTTACTGCCATAGTATCCATCCAGCCTTTCTATCCCAACACTGTGTATAAAATGGGGAGAACCTATCTATTGCTATTGACCATTCGCACCAGAGTGCCAACCCATTAAGTGTTTCTGCAAGTGCTGTATCTATTCCTTCTATCTTAAAAGTTCTCATTCATTTATTTAGTATGTGCCGAGGTGCTTTTTGTGGGGATCAGAGGACAACTTGGAGGCAAATGTGTTTTCTGCTTCCACTTTCCTTGCTAGAACATTCATAACGTAGATTCGATTTTCAGTAAAACATGTATGAATAGCTGCTCCATTTTTCTAAGGGTAAACCAAATATCTATGCAGGGTTCTGGTTCTAAGTAAACATATTTTTTAAAACGACTATTAAATTATGAATATGATGAAGTTAAAGCTGCTACTGTTACACTTAGATCACTAAAAAGTCTTAACATTGTTTGCATCTGTATATAACTATAAGATAGTTAGACCAACCTATAAATTAAGGTTCCAAATCTGGATAAGCTCTTTGTGATTGTGGTGATATGAATAGGAATGGCCCCCATCAGCTCACATATTTGAATGTTTGGCCACTAGGGACTGGTGTTATTTGAGAAAGATTAGGCCATGTTGAAGGGAGTATGTCACTGTGGGGTAGGCTTTGGGTTCCAAATGTTCAAGCCAGGCTCATTGTCTCTCTTCTTGCTGCCTGATGATCCAGATGCAGAATTCTCAGTTACCTCTCTAGCCCCATGTCTGTTTGCATGCCACCATGTTTCCTGCCATGATGACAATGAACTAAAACTCTGTATTATAAGCCAGCTCCAATTAAATGTATTCCTTTATAACAGTTGCCATGGTCATGGTGTCTCTTCACAGTAACACAAACACTATAACAATTATAAATTAGAAAATTCAAAGTTACAATTATAGGTTCTTTGGGATGACTGTAGTGTTTCATGAAAACCATAGATGTACTGTATGATCTTGAGAATAGTCAACTATAAGACACTTTCTCCCTGAGCTCTAGGCTCAGTTCCATCATACACAGACTTTTCAGAAGCTTGGAGCTAATGCCTTTGAGTAGGAGAGACTCATATCTAGCCCTTCTTTTTCTATTTTGTTGCACTTGGACTGACTGCATGTTCTGTTACTGGATTTTAAAAACATGGATATTAAGTACACACACTATATCATGGATTTCACCCTCAGAGATTTGTGGGCCTTTATAACCCATGTTCATGAATTTCTCTCAGTGCTAATCGCAATCATAAACTATATTGCTATTGTTGGAGCAATGGCTCTATGCACTTGCACACTGACAGAGGACTCAGGTTCATGTGCAAACTCAAATCTTAGTAACAAGCTTATTTGTACCATAATTCAAGACTTAAAAATTTTTATATTTTCAAAATTAGTATTGATAATTCTATTTGGAAATGACACGCTATACAGGTTGTTCAGGGCACAAAATATATATCCTTAGTATGTGTGTTTCCAGTAAGCCAGAGGAAATTATATAAGTAATTACTGGCCTAGTCTGTTTTTATGTAAATATCACTTATTTAAAAATGGCAAAAATAATACTTTAAGAATATCAAGGACAAATTTAAATATCTCCTCCTCTCTGAAATAATATAAATTCATTGCAAATTCTTTTCTATCGAATAATTAGCTTTAATAATAAAAACATAGAGAAAGCACAACTCTTTGAAATTAATATTATAGTTGTTTTTATGTGTGTGTTTTACTGTAGTTGATATTTTCCTTCTTTTATGTAGGTTCTGGGGATCAAATTTAGGATTACTATTTTTGTCTAGCAATTACCTTTATCTGCTGGGTCACATTGTTAACCCTGAAAACACAATTCTTAGCTGGGTCTTTATTTCAGAATCAAAAGTGCTTCCTAATGTCAAAAACTGGTAAAAACTGAATTTTGTCCAATGAGCATACAATTGGAATATGTTAAACAGAATAACTGATTAAAATCTCTCTCTCTCTTTCTCTCTTTCTTCATATGGGGCCAGATTGGTCTGATACTTACCATGTATCTGAAGGTGAATTTGAATTTCTGATCTTCCTGCTTCTACCCCTCCAGGGCAGGGCAGGGCAGGGCAGGTATGTGCAACCATGCTGAACTTATGTATCTAACATAGGGCTTCAAACATTCTAGGTAAGAACTATTCTAACCAAGCCAGTCTCAGTCCTAAATATGTCACTTTTAACTTTTCAAATTGTGAATTATCAGCTTTCCAAGAGTTGCTAATATACTTCAGTGTTGGGCAAGGGACTCTTGTGCATATTGTTATCCTTTTACTCAGTCAACAGAAACAATGGAATTGTCTGGGATTCATATTACAACATGTATTTCTCTCAGCGCTGATCACAATCAGAAAGCATTCTGCTATAGCTGGAGGGAGGGCACCATGGCTAACAGCACTTGATACACTGACAGAGGACTCAGGTTCATTTCTCAGCATTCATATCAATCAGCTTACAAGTGTCTCCAGTTTGCCGGGCGGTGGTGGTGCACGCCTTTAATCCCAGCACTTGGGAGGCAGAGGCAGGCAGATTTCTGAGTTCGAGGCCAACCTGGTCTACAGAGTGAGTTCCAGGACAGCCAGAACTACACAGAGAAACCCTGTCTCGAAAAACAAAAAAACAAAAACAAACAAACCAAAAAAAAAAAAAAAACAACCCAAGTGTCTCCAGTTCCGAGTAAACTGCCACTTTTTTCTGGACTCTTTGTAGGTACAAGGCATACATGTTATACACACAGACACAAACACACAGAGACAGACAGACAGACAGACACACACACACACACACACACACATGCATGCATACAATAGAAATAAATCTTTAAAAAGGACAGCATATTGTCACTAAATACCTATGGCTTTGAGAGTGGACTTTTGATTATAAACTGCTTTTACCTTTCAAATCTTGTAAATAAAGGAAATAAATCTAGTCCTAGAGGCTCCTTTCTTCCAAATACAGATCTTTCCAGTTTCCATCAACTCCCACACAGTCACCAGTAATGAATCAAACTCCTCTTCCCTAGAGCATTGTTGTGAGTGACAAACATAAGCCATAGACACTGAGCACTTCTTTTCATATATGTGTTATACACTAATTCATAGGCTGCACATCAGTGCTTTCATCCAGCCCTGAAGCAAATGCTCTCTTCACACTACCCATCCCCCAACAGGAATAGCAATTGCAATCCCATGTTGCAAACATATTATATGACACCCAACAGTGCCATTTAATGAAGGAATTTGCCAATAGCTTGTTTTGCCATCACATACATAAGGCATGAGATTAAACCTGTCAATTGTCTTAGTGATAGTGTCACTTGCAAATGAACACACTGGCAATGGGACTAGTAAGAAACTTAATTTGGAATGATGATTGGTCTGATCTTCATTTCTATAGGAAAAAGAAACCCTCAATTTTTCTGCCAGCATCTGATTGTTTTGTGCTTATTTTAGAAGAAAACAAATTAGAAGTTGATGGTGAGGGTTAATGACTTCTTGCTTTTGTTTCCAGATGTGCATATCCTGCCCCCAAGGAGCAGGCAATGAATGAACTGAACATCCTATAAGATCTGTTTCTTTTCGCATAACAGCTTGATATTTTGCAATCATAATTTCCGGTTTTGATGAAATCTTTACACGTCTTGATTCATTCATTTTCAGTGTATTCATCTTTAGACACTCTACTCATTCTAGAATACTACCGAGTGCTTATGGTTTCAATAATGTATGTTACAATACTTTATAATATTTGTGAGCCTTTGGCCTGCTTTCCGAATTGGAGGTTCTGAAATGGTGACTCAGATTCACCTGCCTCTCCCTCTCGAGTGCTGGGATGAAAGTTGTGTGCCAACGAACGGGGTAGGCTTAAAGAAATGTTTTTAAGATTTATTTTTTTAAAGATTTGTTTATTTGTACATATATGGGTGTCTTGCCTGCTTGTATGTATGTATGTATGCTGTCTGCATGTCTAGTGCTCATAGAGTTCATAAGTGAGTGTGAGATCACCTAGAACTGAAGTATTGATGACTGTGAACCACCACGGAGGTGTTAGACATTGAACTTGGGTTTCCTGCAAGTGCATGCAGTACTCTTAACTATGGAGACACTGCTCCAGCCCTCAAATTTTACAATTTATGTGTATATGTATCTCTATGTGGACATATGTTTCATAAACTATGAGTGCAGGTGTCTGCAGAGGCCAGAGTTGTATGGTACCCTGGGGCAGGAGTCACAGGTAGTTGTGATACTCTGGTCCTCTGGAAGAAAAGCACACATTCTTAACCACTAAACCATCTCACCAGCGCCTTGCAAGATGTTTTAACCTAGATGAACTCTGTGCAGGTAACTGACTGACTGAATAATCACAGAAAAGACTAGTATAATCTTCTAGTGCCTCATAACAAACATCCAAGATCGAGAGCAGATGGTAGCAATTGCATAATAGCGCCTCTGGTTAAATCATATATTATATACTTGAGAACTGTGTGACCCAGAACACAGTCGTTGGTTTATCTTCGAAGGCCAGCAAATGGAGTACCCACCAACTGATGGGTTATTGGAGATCACTGCTGCCTCAGGGTTTATGAATTGTAGGGTAACTCCTATGATATCCTATTTAAGTATCATGACCTAATTAACATTTCCTCAAAACTCCTCTTACGTTAGATGGATCTACTTACTTTTGGATAACACCATCACCACAGTATCCACTTCCGTGGGTGTATATGGCAGCAGGTGATGGCTCACTCTCTTCAGTTCCTGAAATGGTGATAATCCGGTACTGGTACACACTGCCAAGTTTCAGATCTCTGGAAGGTGCAGAGAAACTTGTTAGTTAAAACAAACACAGTGCTAGGGGCCTGATCGGCAGAGAATGAAATCTTGATTCCTTTGAGTTTACTCTTTTAGTCTTGCCCATTTTTATTTTTTAAATCAAAGGCACATTTGGTTATCCAACAATCTATACCATACAGTAGGTTAAGCTACTTTGCTGAGTACAGTGGACTACATTATAAGGTACACCAATAAAAATGGCCTTTACCAGATATATAACTGTGCATAATACTGAATATTTTTGACTTTGAGCTTCACAACAATCCTTGCGGAAGGGAAGAATATCAGAGAGTATGGAAACCATTCAGTGAGAGTTTGTGGGAAGCAGAAACCCTGGGAAAATATTGAATAAGCAAAAGGAGGTTGAAGTAGCATATCAGATCCTCTGAATATTATCTAAACATTTACTCACATTTAAAGACCTGTGCAGGAACGACACGGTACATGAGAAAGTGTTTTCCTTACAGTGTGTGATTGAGACTCTCCTACTCTGCACTCATTCCTGTCCGTGACTATTATCCTTTCTATAAGTAACAGTAGCGTTCATTAATTAAATCTTGGCCCTGGGCTATGCACTTGCTATATATTTTCTTATTTGAGAGTCAAAACAACCTTACATGGATACTCATTTTTATGTTGTTTTTATAGATGATGAATCTGAGGCATAGGGACGTTAAGCCAATTGTTTTCAATTGCATGTTATCTAGTAATATCTTATATTCTTCCTCCTTTATCCCTACAGGCCTGCCCAATAACCACATCTCTTGGAGAGAAGGGTCTTGTTCTGGAATAACAATTCCGGAGGCTGGTACCTGCCAGATTTCTAACATGCCAAAACTGTGTCTCTCCTCTGGCTTAAGACTTCCAGGGCCTGTCCAGACTTCCTCACCTAAGAACCTGGCTATTGCCAATTATCCTCTAATACAAATGCATGTTTGTGTCAATTCTATATGACCAAATCTCCACTCATACTTCCTTATAGACCATTTTCAAAATAATATGTTAGTCTTCATATGCATTGATTTATGTAGTAATTATTTATTTTTATCATAAAAAATTGTACCATGGGGGTGGGGACACAAAAGGTTAATGAGGACATTCCAGGGTGAAAGGAGGAAGATTGCATGAGCAGAAGGAAGATGTTAGGAAATTTCAAGATTTCTTGCCCATCTGTTATTTCAGCTGCTGTGAAAGGCAGGAGCTGTTTGGACAGGCCAATAAGATAACAGGTGTGTGAACAATGGAAAGGGAAGATTTCCTGACACTCAATGTAGTGATAGACTTTATGAGCAATGAACCGTTCTTATGAAGAAAAAAAAGCCCTTGATGAAAATAGTAAACTCATCATCCCCAAAGGGAGTTTGTTTGAGTAGCACTGAAGCAGTTACTGATGTTGAGGGCAAACTGAACTTCTCTGCAGATTCTCTAAGAGATCTGGTGAGGCACATCCAGGGTGATATTGAATAGATAAATGATGGCTTCATTGAAAACTCCCAGAATGACATTACCAGAATACTCATTTTGCTGACTCTTTGTCTACTTCTTGACTAATTAGTGACTCTCCCAGAAGCACAGGAAGAGAAGGGAGAGAGTGGGAGTCAAAGAACATACATGAGTTCTACTATAAACTCACCTACTTCTAAGATATGGAGAAACACTAAAATAAGGCAATGTTTTGGAATAAAATAAGAAATTTGCTTCAGGTGACAACGTGGACCACAGAAGACATATATTCATTGTCTGAACAGATGGGGCTCTTCTGTAGAAATGCTTGCCAAAATGAACAGTGCTTCTCAAGTTATGTGTGACATGACAAATGATTTGTAGCTGAAATATTTAATGTGATGGGTTAATATGTTGTGGCTGTTTTTCTTCTAAGCCCTACCTTGGCTTCACTTGTAGTTTCTTCTTGCCATGTTCCTCCTATGCCTTGGCAATCACCAACTAGCAGGTAAGCAAACATGTCTTTGTGTTCTGTCTTTATAACTTTTACCCAGAAAGTCACATGATATTCTTTTCTATCACTCTGAGCCTATTTCAAATTAACTCTAAACTTCTACTCACAGCATTTTCTTACAGCTTAAATGTGAGAACATTGACAGTACCCCTAACTCACGATGAATGGCTAGAAAATGCTGACCCATTATTACCAATGCTTAATTAGCAACAGTTTTGGTCACTGGAATTATCTTATAGTCTCTTTAATCAGGGAGAAGAAGAGTCAGGAAAAAAAATATATATATATATTTCCAGTGCCACACATCTAACTTTCTTTCATATCACCTCACTCCTACTTCTGCGAATTTTACAAACCAGATTTCTTTTGTCCCAGGTAAAATGTGTCTTCAAATAGCATCTACCTAGTGACCCACCTAGGAGCACCATGCGCAGTACATATGGGAGAAAAGTTCATAGCTCTTTTCTCAACTGTGTGTCTGGCTCTTGGTTTACCCCTTGAAGACTCTTAACAGTTCTGAGTCAGGAGATAATATAAGTTCCCAAATAGTGACACAGAAACTCTAATCATCCCTTTAGTGAAAAGATGAAGAAGTTACAATTGGTAGTTGCAATTGTTACTAAAATGATTATGAATCTCTTGTGCTAAAGCTACATCTTTTCTTTAAAGTAGCCAAAGTTAGTGCCAAACAAAAGATGTTCTTATAAATTTAGATTGTTTTTATTTTCAGACAGACAGTTGAGTGCGGAGGACTTATCTGATTTGGGAGAGGTTAGAATCTGCACCTCAGCTGGTCTAAAAGCAGGAATTAGGGTCAGGATTGCCCTTTCAGTTGCTGCAGGGGAGAAACATCGAGTTGTTTTTTCAACTCACCCCCCTACCTCCACCATTCTCTCTTCTACTAATCCTGTCTTCCCCTCAACTAGAAGCTTCCACAACACTCTTGGAACTAGCTATTAAGCTGAAACTTGAAACTGTCATTTAGTTACTTGTGAAACTAAAACTTTAGAATTTTGTCTGAGGTGTCTTTATTTTGACCATTTCTTTTTAAATATTTTATTGGATATTTTCTTTATTTACATTTCAAATGTTATCCCCTTTCCCAGTCTCCTGCTGGAAACCCTCTATCCCATCCCCCCTCCTCCTGCTTCTAAGAGGGTGTTCCCCCACCCACTCTGGCCTCCCCACCCTGGCATTCCCCAACACTGGGGCATCGAGCTTTCACAGGACCAAAGGCTTCCCCTCCCATTGATGCCCAACAAGGCCATCCTTGTAGCTGGAGCCATTGGTGCCTCCATGTGTACTTTTTGGCTGGTGGTTTAGTCCCTGGGAGTTCCTGGGGATTTGGTTGGTTTATATTGTTGTTCTTCCTATGGGGTTGCAAACCCCTTCAGCTCCTTCAGTCCTTTCCCTAACTCCTCCATTGGGAACCCCGTGCTCAGACCAATGGTTGGCTGCGAGCATCCTCCTCTATATTTGTCAAGCTCTGAGAGAACCTCTCAGGAAACAGCTGTATCAGGCTCCTGTCAGCAAGCACTTCTTGGCATCCACAATAGTGTCTGGGTTTGGTGACTGTATGTGGCATGGATTCCCAGGTGGGGCAGTCTCTGGACAGCCCCTCCTTCAGTCTCTGCTCCACTCTTTGTATTTTGACCATTTCTGATTTCTTTCATAGAATTTGGAATGCTACTTTAATTTATCACTAAAAATTCATTTATCCCATTAATATTTAATTCTCAGTGTTCAAACTGTATCTACGATTACTTTTGTATTTTTATCTAATAAGCTTACACATGATGGATCATTTAGCTAATATTGAAGGGTTGTTCTGTGGCTTCTTAGCGTGCCATTTAAAAACAGCCTTTCTAAAACCTAGTCATTGCTCCAGTACAAATGTCTCAAATGGCATACCTGCCTTAGGTTTGCATTTTCAATTATTGAGGAAAATGCTTCAATTTATCATTGGCATGATTTCCACAATATTATTCACAGAAATTTCAGAAGAAAGTGACTCATATTTGCAATCTCAGCACTTGGGAGGCTAGTCAAGAAGATCGACACAATTTTAAGGCTAGCCCAAGCCGCCTAGTGAAAGCTAGGTCAGCCTGGGATACGGACTGATAATCAGTCTGTCTGTCTGTCTCTCTCTCTCTCTCTCTCTCTCTCTCTCTCTCTCTCTCCCTCCCTCCCTCCCTCCCTCCCTCCCTCCCTCTCTCTCTGTCTCTCCCTCTCTTTCTTTCTCTCTTTCTCCCCCACCACATACATACATACATACATATATATATATATATATATATATATATGAATTGATATTGATGGGGAATGTATCTCAAATATACAGTGTAATCACACAATAAAACTTAAATTATGACATCATTATCTTAAGAATGTAAAAACTTCAGAGGATAGCTAAGTATCCTTAGTTTTAAACACTTAGATAATCATTTTAAAACAAATATTTGAAATTTCTCATATATAGCTAATATTACGATGAGTCAATTACAACCTATAGAAACCTATAATCAAGTCATTACAATGTGACTTTTAAAACACAACATGTTACTGTTGTCCCACAAGTCTATGTAAACATGGAATGAAAAAAAAGGTAGTACAGGGGAGGAATCAAAGGGAGACCCTATTTATAGCATAATAACATCCTATTTTGTTTCTTTCAAAAACTTCTTAATCCCTTGAATATTCTTCACTGATATCCAATTGTTTCCAAATCATAGCATTTGTGCCTTATAGTGTTTCAAGATAGTCTCTATTTTCAAGATGAATATTTTTTCTTTAAAACTCGACCTTTTAGAAAAACAACCATAACTATAGGTTCAATTTGTTTCCTACTCGCTGGACATAATATGTTATATTTCATGGGCATAGTTTCAATCCAAACAAACATTCCTTGAGCAACTGTTATTTTATTATTCTACTTCTCAGGTGAAGAGAGTAACACAGTGAGGAAAGAATGAACTACCTGCTTATAGGTTTTTGCCATGGGTAGAAACTTGAACCAGT